ATTTATTTAAGTACATAAAATGAGAGAGAAAAGAATATGATTAAAATTCTCAAATATATATTTGAAACATATACTAAGAGTTTTTGTCTTAGTTATATTTTATATGAAAATTATCATAAAGTTTTTGTCGCATAAAATTGTCACAAAATTAAAATTGGTAACTTATTAAAATACAAGAAATTAAATTAAACCATCCTCTTTATATTTTTATTGAATTATAAGAATCACTAAGGAAACAATACTAATCCAACATTATTATGTTATAACAAAATATGTAGGAACTAAATAATTAGGACCAATATAGAAGTGTTTGTTTTTACCAATTCATCTTATTGGTATTTGTTATTCTTTATTTATTTATTTTTACCAATTGAAATTAAGTCTTTGTTTTTTTTTTTTTTTTATCAATTGAAATTACCCAATGAAATCATCTTTTTCAGATAATATCATATGTTTTTTTTTTTTTTTAACTTTTTTGTAAGGCAAACCAACTAAATAGATTTTTTTTTTCTTTTGAAACTTATGAAGTTTATAATAAAAAGGTTATAAAAAATTAAAAATCAAAACTGATAAAACTCAATAGGTGGAACAATGATATGTAAATTGTTAAATTTTCAAAAATTACATGTAGATGGTATATTCAATAAGCTCTTGCTTAAATTGTAGTATTAGTTTTGATTTTTAGTTTTAGTTTTCATGATATATAAACTGCTTTACTTGCAAACTTCACAAAATTTACTTAAAATTTATAAACCTTGCCATTTATTTAGTATTCAAGTATTTACACTATTTAATAATACTATGAGTAAATTATTCTGTAGAAAGAAATCTTCACACTTTACAAATATATTCAATTATACTAATCATTTTATTTAGAGAAGACAGTTTTAATTTTTATTCAAACTTGAAAAAAATTACTCTTAAAATTTTAAAAAGATTTAATAAGTTAGACACTCACAAATAAAAATTGAAGACAGTTATATTACTTTGAGGGGGCCATTCATTTATTTTGAGAGATATATTTAAAAAATTAATGCATAACACTGCATAACTTTCAAAATTCCCTCCTCAAGTTCCTATGTGGCTCTGCCCCTGCTTATGGAGTATTCTAATTTGTTAGAATCAGTGATAATCTCTCTCTCTCTCTCCCCACCTATAAATTGTTTTTGCTGAAGTTGTAAGTTTTCAGTAAAAGATAGGCATAGCATGTCTCACAGCTAGAGTTCTGAGTGGAAGCTTGTGGAATGAACTCCTCTGAATTGTTATACTGTTCAACTCCTATGTTGGTAGCCACTATCATGTGTTTCCTAGAGAAGAACACTACAGTTTGAGTTTAAGATATATGGCCAACCCCCTACTTAATGTCACCCCAGTTAGCAGTGCTCCATATAATTCTTTGTGAAATCTGCACTGATCTTCCTCTTATTGTATTGAGGGTGCAGTCTTCCGTTGGTGTCCAGCACCAAAGACTATACGTCGTCATGTTTGGTAATACTATAGTTGATATAGATTGGGTTATTGTAACTAGGATGATTAGCTTTCATCCACCCAGGTTGAAGTGCGGTGTTAATAATTATGCCCTGTACTTCCACAATATCAAAATTGGTTGCATGAGGCAGGAAACTTCTTTGATTTAGTATGACATTGAAGAAATTTGTCTTTGTGGACAAATCAGTTTTTTTTTTAATGACATCAATATCTCGTTTGATGACAATGGCAGCACCTGGAAGCATTTATTTAGTTTGCTATTCATTTAAAGTATTGCTTGAAGTTTTGAGGTTTATGAAATTTGAGCATGGCTCTGATACTTATGTAGATTAACTGATGATGAAGCTGAAGTATCAAACATTGCGTGTTATTTTCTGCTTCCAAAACCATTGATAAACTAAGGCTGAATTAGGGTTCTTTATTTTTAATGATGTACTAATTTTTTCCTTGTTATGCTCTTAGTCTTGTTCTCAAGAAGTGAATTCTTTATCTTTAATGTGATTGCATCCTAATGAAATGAACTTTTTCCTAGCAGATGCTGGTAGTTTTCTATGGGCTGGCTACAGTTAAAGTTAGTGGGATCTCGGCTCATTGCTGGTCTAATTACTAACAAAGAAAGCTTGACTGGGTTGATATTAGTCTTGCAAAACCACATAACAACCAAGCTTTTGAAAGCTCTGGAACCTCTTCTCATTTAAAGTGGAGATATTCCCAGGTAAAATTTTTAATCACGAGTCAGTCTGTGTTATTGCCATTGACACTGGTTCCTGTAAATTCAATCTGATACAAGAAAATATTTTGTTACTTGAAAACTTTTGGCCTCTAGGCTTTTCATGTCCTGAATTTGCTGTTCTTGTGTCCACTCCCATATTGTACAGATGCCTCATGCCATAGCCTCTCTTTCATACATTTACATCTATTCATTTCTTGATAAACTAATGCTTCTCTCCCTCTTTGGGATGTGTGTGTGTGTGTTTGGTTCATATTATTTTCTATTATCTTTTCTAACACCAGTTTGCTATGATAAAGGCAGAAAAACCGTGACTTTGTGGTTCAGTTGAGATTAGCATATGAAGGATGAAAATGCTAATTGGTGTACTGCATTTGGTTTATTTTTGTACTCATTTGAATGATTCAATTTTTGAATATTTTGAAATGATTTAAATGTTTTTTTAATAGTTTCTGAAGTGAAGATGCCACACCCTAATGGAATTGCTTGCACATATTTCTCTCTAGATTATATCTCGAGAAATAGCCATAGGGATGCAAGGCACATGCATTTTGGTATAACATGAAGCTTGGCAATCATTTCTTCGTGTGTTTTGTACTAATCAAAATTACAATGTTATTTTGCACTGCAAATACTAGTCATATGTAATAAGTCATCTAGTTTATTGTTATCAACTATGTGAAGCTTAAAAAATGTACTACAGTCTGCTAGTTTTCAACTGACCCAAATATTTCCTGTGCCAATTCTATCAAGTTTAAGGAATTTTGCTGAGGTTAATTCATCCCTATAAGATTTTTAGTTTCTTTCCTAGATGTAGTAACTGTGACATTGTGTTTTCATATTGAAAGTGTTAACTTTTTTTTTTGGTGGTGGGGGGGGGGGGGGGGAGAATCTATTGTATAGCACTAGTCCTCCATTGACCATCCATAACTTTTATGAGTCTATAAGAATGGATTAGTAATTCTCATCCTCGTTCCATCGTTACAAATAGTATGTATTCCGTTGTTAATTGTCAGATGGATTAGGTTGATTTTTGAAACGGACATTACGTGGCATTTTTACATCTAAGTTAAAGAAATTGGTTTCTTTAGCATCCTTATGGTTTAATGTAGAAAGTGTGGATGTGGAATCCTTTTTGTCTCCTCATCTAATATGCAACTTGTTCAAACTATCCTTGTACCCTAATATCTCCCTTTGTATTTCATGGTCCTCAGATCACTGACTTGCTTGTTAATATTACGAAGCATGTGTTAAAGCCCAAGCATCAGGTATTGACAGAACATGAGAAACAAAGGCTCTTGCAGAAGTATAGTATAGAAGAGAAACAGGTTAGTCTTAAAACATTAAAAGCTTTGGTTGAATAATACCATACGTGTGAACGTTAGCATTCAGATTGAAAAGCATATGGTTGTCCATCAGGACATTCAATGCTCTAAAAAGATGTGCATATGCATATATGTGATGTTTGTTATGAAGATTTAAACCTCTACCAAATTTCAGGGTAGCTGCATGACAAAAAAAAATAAAATTGCATCGTTATTTTATGTCTATATGTGTATTATATATGTATATATATATATATATATATATATTTTTAGGCTTTTATTTATTAAGTCACTAATTGCTGGCATCTTATTCGAATTTATATTTGTCGGTAGCTTCCTCGACTGTTAAAGAAAGATGCCATTGCAAGATATTATGGTTTTGAAAAGGGTCAAGTAGTGAAAGTTACCTATGGTGGTGAAATCACTGAGTCACATGTCACTTACCGATGCGTCTGGTGATGCCGCAACGCAATGTACTGTTGTTTCTTGCTGTGGAATATTGCAGGTGTAGTTTTAAGCTTTTCCCAAACCATCTTTTGGGGTTGCTACATGTGACTTCTGTTACTCCTAATGAACACTGGTTGAGTTGCTTGTTTTAATGCCTTATTTTATTAAGAGAAGTCAATGGCTTTAATTGCAATATCTGCAAGACTGCAACAAATTTATCATCCTTGCAAACTTTGACAAAATGGCATAGAGAAAAATTACAACCTCTTTCTGGAAGCAAGCATCTGATACGTGGCATTGTTTCCAGTCCATTTTGTTCTTATGAAGTAAACAGAAGATGAAAAAGTTCTGGGCAGATTTTCCAATACGCCATTGCCATGGGTGCCATCACACTTTTCCATCTGGGCCTAAACTTTAAAATGCATTGAACGATTATCAACATATAATAATATGAATAATTACAGTTTAATATGGTTCATACTAAATACATACTTTAATATATTTTCACAGATGGCAAATTCAATCATTTTCCCCTAGAGAGAAAACTGCAAAATTCTAACAATTAAACAAATTTATTGCACAAAAATAAAAACAAATCCTTTTACAAGATGGTCATAGAATAGAATAGTGTCTTTGTCATATGTATCAAGGGAATTCTCATTTTTACGCCAAAAACGATCAAAATGTAATTTTAAAGATGGGACAAGAATAGATGTAATTTTAAATTTTTTATCAGGTAAATAACATAACACCCATTTCTTAACTATACTTTATATATATTTTCTGCATTTAATAATATAAAATTTTATTTTAAATTTAATAAAACTAACATATTTGTATTTAAAAAATACATATTTATAAAAAATTATTTAAATGTGCAATAAAAAATAAAAAAATAAAAAAAAATTTATTAAAAAAAAACTACAAATTCGGAAACCATCTACTTATTAAATACCTATGGAGAAGGAGATAGGGATGAATTTGAAATACCATTGAGTATAGGTACAAGATGAGTATAATGGTACAATATGAATATAATATAAAAAACTAAGAATGAGAATAAAGAATATTTTATCCATCCATTGATATCTCTACTCATAACAGTTATTCATAAATCAAATAGATGCTAAAAACTTTGCTTTTGTCACTTATTCAAAACATTTCTTCAGCAAAATCAGCAAAATGCTTGGGGGCCAAATCTTTAGGGTGGGAGCAATATTCACAAACGCACAATTTTGGTTGATCATTTCTTGCGAGCCAATGCTGCGGCAATTCCACCAGCAATAAGTCCCACAGCAGTAGCAGTAATGCCAATTCCAATCATACCATCTGCATGAAAACCATATATTCATAAGCCATTCAGTCTACGCTACAATTAATTTTAGCATCAGTAAGACAATTCTGGTTATAACCTTTAGCAATACGATCCTCAACTGCCTTCTTAAGGGCAAGAGCTTGCCTCCAATCAGGCGCAATCTACAAAACCAGTAGTTTCATAAAGCAAGAAAACAAAAGAAATCACTCAAAACAAACATTTTTATCAAGCAAACGTGTTTGGAATGTGCACCACACAATGTGGGGTTGGAATAATAGAAACAAAATTAAAAGTTCTAACAGAGAGAAGACACAGGCCCATAATTTCATGTCGTGCAAGTCAAACCATAGTGTTTAAATAAAGGTTTAAAGGCAACCACAGCAGAATTTAGATCACTAACCCAGAGAAAATGCAAAATGAATTAAACACACAACAACACACTCCATAGCTAGCATAGCCCAGTAAAAAAAATCCCATGCATTAAAGCTAGGAGTTGAGTCATCCTTCCAGGATTGTTGCCATTAATGCCTCCCCCTCTAATAATTGTTTCTTTCTAGTTAATTTTTTAAAAATTTAAAGCCAAACTAATGGACCCCAGAATAACTTAATAATGATGTCAATTTTAACATCATCAACGGATAAAATGATTAATAAGTCAAATTAATCATGACATATATGTAGGAAAATTATATGGTAAAATAAATGGACTTTCATAGAGGAAGAAATGGGTAGGTAAATGCAATCATTTCTAAGCATTAAGATGATAGAATGAACACCTTTAGGCCAAACATTTTACATTGAGTTTCTTAACCTTTAAATATAATTTATTTTATGCAATTAAAATTAGATTTAGTTTTAAATGTTATGCTTGGCAATTTTCATGTTTGAATGAGTACCTCAGAATGTTACATTCATAATTTAAACAATCAATTTAATGTTGGTAGACGAAAACTATCTAATTAGGTTACTAAACCAATTCATTGATTGGTCTAAAGATAGGCTATCAGCTATTAATATTAACAATTTCCACTAATAACAACAGTTAACAAATCATCCTCTTGCCAATACCTACCTCTATCCTTCACACAACTGTCCTTCATTACCTTGTTTCTCTTCTTTTAGATGGACAATTAGTATTGACTGAGCATGGGCTAAGTCTAGAACATTCAGACGAAGTGAGATGCATAACCCCCAAGAATCTATTTTTAAATAGAAAAGGGCTAAGGAAACACAGACAAACCTCCAAACACCGCTCCACAAGTTGTCGACTCCTTGAGTATTCACCAGTTCTGTAATACCCAACAGCTAGAAGATAAAGTTTCTCTCTTTGCTGCAATTCGGAGCTGCTATTGGCCAATGATGCTGCAAAGACAAAAGTTTTTGAATTTAAGCTGTGCCCATAACATTATAAATAAAGCTATAGACCGAAAGCAACACATCAATAACAAGAAGGTAATAAGGAGTAAGAATTTATTCAAATAACAGAATGGCTCAAAAAAGGGAAATTGGGAAGGACCGTAAGTGGGGCTAGACTGGTGGTGACAGAGGAACACCCTTAGCCTTGTACCGAAAAGTTTAATGCCTCAATTACTCAGAGAAGGGGTAAATCCAGACACATTGCATAGAAGTTATTAGACAGATGCATTACCAGCAGTGATGGGAATGCTAAAAAAGCATTTTGAAGACAATTAGCATGACTATGACCCACAATTAGGAATACAAAGTAAAATCAGGCTTAGAGAAAAGGCATAGCCAAGGCAAGGGTATCGCTGCAATAGGTTAACTTACTTAAAACAGTTAAAGACCTCCATTACAGGTAAGAATACAAGTAGCGAAAGCAATTAGAAGGAAAAAAGAAAGTAAAGTATGGACACAGAGAAACCACCGATGAAACTAGAATAAAGTTACCAACACGAGTGTTATTTGACAAATATTTGCATTGACAATATTGGGTCACTATTACTTTATTACAATTACAAACAGGACCAGCAGGTAGAAACAAAACACATTCTATGAAAACATAACAAAAACTAACATGTGAATCAACATAAAAAACTCATAAGATAGGGAAGATGGTATAAATAACTGACCTTCAAGCATGGCTATCCCACGCTGCGTATCTTCAGCTTGCCTCGAGTGAACAAGTGCCCATGAAAGTCGCATGATGCTTTCACTCTTCAGTTCCTCAGAATCACCCTTAGCATCAGCAACTTCTCTCTCACAGCCCTTCCACCAATGCCACAGTCAAAACAAAATGCCAAAATAATAAAGGGAAGCGAATGCGTAACCACAAAATACCCAAACCCCAGTATAACAAGACAACACCATATATATATATATATATAATATTTTCCATCCTCTTTCTTCAAATTCCATAAATTTCAAGCATTTAGACAACTAGAAATGCTTGTTAAATTCAGAAAATTTATAATAATCTATCATAATAATATATACCTCAAGAAGCCTTAAACCTTTTCAATTTTTTTTTTCTCTTATAAACTATAGATAAACAAAATATCAAACCCCAAATGGTAAACGTCACAGATCAATGAGCTATCAAAAGCATACTATTACTGCTAATCCAATTTGAATTGGATAAAATTTCAGAGAATAAACGGAAAACTTGAATGTATACATACAGCAATGACGTCGCGGTCGCACCAGGGGATCTGATCGCCACCACCGAAGAAGGACCCCACCGATTCGAAGAATTTCCCTATCTTCTCCTCCATTTTTCAATTATCAGTCACTGCTCTATCAACAAATTATAACGGGGCTTTTAGGTTGATATTTACGGCGTTTTCTCCTCTCAGGTTTAGTTTTATTTTTGAATTCTAATTTTATTTTATAGGTTTTTGGGGCCTTCGTTGTTAAGAGAGCGACAGAAGGCTGTACGGAACTGTGCAAATGAATCCATTTGGGCAGAACTCAAGGAATAAGAAATTGGCTTTTTTCAGGATTAGTCGTGAAATATTTTAAGATTTCTCTTTCAAATTTACAAGAAATTGGCCCAAAACAACGTTACACAAAGCAGGTTGCCCGTGTGGCCCAAGGACTTGACTCAAGTCCAGCTTTAGAGACAAAATTTTTAAGTTGAAATTATTTTATTAATAAATAATTTTTTTATATAAATTTTTTTTTTGCATCTTAAAATATTTTTAACATATTTTAATAATATTTATAATTTAAATGAAAAAATTTGGATGGATTAAACTCGGATTTACGACTTAAAGAGGTCTACCAACCCAGCTTGTTTTAATTCATTGATATTTTTATTTATCAAATTATGTAACATTTTTTTTCATTTCTCTTAATGTATTTTTTTTTACTTTTAAAATAATAATAAGAAGTTTAATTTATACACAAAATCTTACAAAAACATAAAAATTAATGAAAAATATTTATATATAATATTTAAGATATCTGATTAAGTTTTTTTCTTGGCTTTTTATGCAACATTGAGAGCGTATTATTTTTTATTTTTAAAAACATAGATGATTTGATATGATTTTTGTAATTTATTATAAAACATAACCTTTTATAAAACTTTTAGAATGAAAGAAAAAAAAGTAAGAAAAATTCAACAATAATAAAGTATTAGAAAAACACATGTGTTGCCGCGAGATAAATTTTTCTTGTTTTATTATTTCAATTCATTGTTTTTTATAAAATTTATCTAATTAAAAAAATAAAAAAATAAATGGAGATGATATATAGATATCTTAATTGGCTTCATTTTCTCATAAAATTTATTTAAAAAAAACTAAAAAAAAGTGAAAAAAGGAAAAATGAAAAATATAAAAATAAAAAGAAATAGAAAAAATGAGCTCATACAGTGTGTCACATTGACACCCCTATTAAGTTTAAAATATTATTTCTTAAAATAAAGAAAATAATTTTATTAATATAATACATAAATGTATAAAATTAAAAAAAAAACTAAAATATATACTTTTATTTTTACCTTAAAATGGATTGGGACAAAGTAACTTAAACACACTTTCAACTCAATCTCATTTCTTTTAAAAAAAAAAAAAGTCAACATTTTTCAACTCAATCTTGATTTAAAGAAATTGCCCCTTAATTTATATAACTGATGGATGAAAAGATTAAATCTTAATTATATATAAATAAAGTATTTTTATTAAATTAAGATACTAAATAAAAACTTCATTAATATAATATATATATAAATATAAAATAGAATAAATAGTTATAATATAATTATATATATACTTGAAACAAGATAAATATCCAAAATTTACTTTCGGCCCAATCTTGATTTTAAAAAAGAAAAAATCTTGACCAGATCTCAAATTCTTTAAAAATCAGCACATGTTAGCTCGTACTAAACAGAAACTTATGTGATATGAGTTATTTTGTTATCCTTATATTTATTTAACTTTTTGCTTGCAAAATTTATTTAATTTAAAACAGTCAAAATTTTTTAAGAAAAGAATGATGAGAAAAAAAAAAAAAGCCAAATGTGATAGGCACATAAATTTATTAAATTAAGACATACAAAAATAATTGAATTAATATAAAATTATATGAATAATAAAATATATATTTATCAATATTTGAGCGAATGAAATATCTTAAACTCATATCATACTTAACCTTGATTTTTGAAAAAAAAAAAAACTCAATTCCATTCCAAATTCAAAAAGCCATCTACAGAATCTAGACGAATTAAAACTTATTGGATACATGTTATTTTGTCATACATATCGTCATTGATATTTTTCTTTAAAAATTTATTAACCAGTTTCTTTTAATGCAAAATTATCTAATTAAAAAAATAAAAGAAAACAAAAAAAAAGCGTAAGGAAAAAAATAGAATAGGATGTCATGTCTACACATTCATTTACTTTTTTTTAAAAAGTAAATTTAAAAAAAATAAAAAAGAAGAAAAAAACTTAAAAAAGAAAAAAAAAAGATGAAAAGCATAAAAATAGAAAAAAGTTGAGTTACCTCGTAACATTAGCAATTATGAGCTTTTTTTGAAAATTTTATATCATTTAAAAAACTAAAACTAAAACAAAAAAATAAAAAAAAAAGTCAAATTCAGATATGACATAACATTTCCACTAATATCTTTTTCTTTAAAAGTTTATGCATTGAAATTATTTCAAATAAGTTTGAAATTATCAAATAGACATAATAAAATCACAAATATTCAATAAATGCATATATTTCAAATTTTCATTGGTCTAAATCCCATTTATGCAATAAATAGTACCATAGTACCCTTGAAACATTTAAACCTTTTATAACTTTCATTCAAAAGACTTTAGCACAAGTTTATGATCATTTTTCATAAATAAAAAAAGTTACTTAAATCCTAAAACAGGTATAACATAAACAAATTTCTTATACAAGCTCTTTTAGGCTTCATGCTTATTGAATATCAACATATACATACAAAATGTATCATATTCATGAAAACTTAAACTTAATCATGCACGTTAATTTATGCTAAATTATGTAGGATAAACCATTCAAAACTTAATGTTTTTAAGATTTTAATTTTTGACATTTTAAAGCTCATTTTTGCTTGAAAAAGGCTTTGAAAAATCTAAAAACTTATCAAGTTCATTTTTAACCAATTTGAACTATTCCAACAAATTTCATTTAACAAAACAAAGTTATTCAAGTGATGATTTTGCTTTAGAAAAAAGGAAATAAAAAAAATCAACTCTTAAAACCCTATATTTCCTTGGAAAAGCTACTATGATGGATAAATACGTTTAAATTCATATTTAATCTCATTAAATCATTTGAAAAAGTTTGATATCATAATTGTAAATTATCCAAATGGCTTTTATATGCATATTTGCTCAAAAATAAGATTTGATTTTTTAAACTCTAAAAGTCTTTGAAAACTTGTATTAATTAAAATAATTGCAAGTTAATAAAATCTTTATTTGAGCAAGTTTAAATAATTGAACTCATGATATTCATAATCATTTTGCATTTAAAAACTTACTAAAACAAAATTTTCCATTTGAAGACTTGACTTTTGTAAAAATGATTTTCAAAGCAAAGCTTAAAATCCCAAAATTATTATGCTTTGTGTGCTCCCTTAGTTTTGTGCATAAATATAAGAATAATCAAACAAGCACAAAACTCAATTTCACCAAATATATCAAACCAACAACATTAATATCAACCATTTAGAGCAATAACTCTACTTATACACATATGGTCTTTAAAATTTAAGTATAAATATATCTCAAACATTTAACCATCAAAATCAAGTTCAATAAGCATGGGAATATTTTTATATCTCGTTTATGTACTCAAGAACATAAAACAAATGTATACTTAACTTAACCTCATATTTTCTTAAGATTATGCAATTTATAACATGTTTATCCATAAAATCAATTTTGCATAATCAATATAAAGCGCATATCAATAATAAGAATTTAAACACTTAAAATTCAATCAAGAATAGGTAACAAAATTTTAAATTCACTTCAAATAGAAGTTTGGCTTAGAGGTTACCCATTTTTTCATTGTGTTTAGAGTTCTATTCTTCAAAATCGTATTGTAGCTCCTTGCTCTAACACACTTACAAGAGACATTATTCATTTGATTTTTGATACCCAAATTACTTTGGGTTCTTAGGAGTTAGTCATATTTTTCTTATTCCTTTAAAAACCCGCACTCGCCTAATTTTGAATAGGACTTTCCTTTTTATATGACAAATGAAAATGGAATGATCATAAAATTTATAATAATTGTTTGTGGCCATTTTAGCATTTAAATTAATCTTTAAAAACTCTTTTTTTTCACTCATTAACTCATTAAATTTCCTTTTTAAATAAAAACTTTTTCCAAAATATCATTTTGCATTTTGCATGGATCAAAATTCATTTTTAACTTTTTATTTTGGTTTTCTTAATCATTCTTTGAATTCATAAAAAAATCATTTTCAACATGTGATTTTGAAGTCATTTTCAACATGCAATTTTGAAATTATTTTCTTATGTCTTAAATCTTAAAAACCTAAATTCAACAAATAACTCATTAAATGCATCTTGTAATTCATCAAATGTATAATCACAAGATTGAGATTGATTTAGGAAAATGTTACCTCAAAATCTTCAAAAACCATGAAACATGGTTTGTTTTGGTTTGAGGATTAGCTTTCATAAGACCTTTCTTCAACTCCCTCTTCCATTTTTATTTCTCCATACATGTCTTCAAGTTTCTCCTATATCTCTTTGGCATTTGAGCATTTTGCAATTAACTTGAATTTGTCAAAGTCAAATGCATTGTAAAACATATTCATGGCAGTTGTACTGGTTTGCATGAGTTTTATGTGATTCTCAATAAATTCTTCATCATTTGATGTGGTCTTTGATTATAATCTCCTATGCTTCCATATCATGAGCCGCAACAAAAGCTTTTATTCTCATTCTCCAATGAGTGTAGTGCAAACTATTGAACATATAAGGCACCATAATGATTGTCTTTCTTCAAGTGTTGTATCAAAAAGTTGATTCATAAAATCACTTTTGGGTTGTTAGACCTAAAAAAAAAAAGGTCCAAGCTCTAGTACCAATTGTTAATTTAAGTGTAGATAACAATCCAAGAAAAAGTGAATTTGATTATCTTCAAATTTTTCTCAAAAATTGACTTTCAATAAATTTGAATAAAAATTTTAAAACAATAAAATCTTTGATGGAAATTTGATGAGATTAACAATAATTAAAAATTGAAACACTATAAACAACAATGAAAATAAAAGAATAAGGATAAAGACATTAAATACAAAGATTTATAGAGGTTTAGTCATTCTCTGAAGGCATCTACGTTATCTCCATTAACCATCCTAACCAAGAATAATCCACTATGTCTTAAATTCTACAAATAGCCTATTTAAGTCTATGAGTACAACAAACCAAAAACCCTCAATGGTTTTTTCA